GTAGTGCTGAGGGATTCTGCTCCATAGTGTTTGTCAATGGGAAGACTTTCTAGCTAATTTACTGAAGAAATTAAGAACAATTTTTTGAGGAACAGACACTGATCTGATGTGATAAAAGATGGTCTCTATGGCACCTGGTGATAAGCTATGGGAGGGCAAAATGGAGAACCTGAAGGAAAGAAAAATCAAGAATATGGAAGGAAAACTGGATTCTAAATGGAAAAAGATGAAGTTCTCTAAAAATTTACCTCAGAAAATGTAAAATGGTGGAGAAAGGAAGAGTGGATTAAGTAAATCCTGTGAGCATAGCGGATCCTTTGAAAGGAGTGAAGAGTTTAACAGAGATGCAGTTAAGTTAATGTAAACCTATTTTAATAATGGAATATGAGAAAGATATTTTATTATTGTATTTACCTGAAAGGAATATGACTGTGTACACGAAAAAAACATAAGAAACAGTGTAGACATTCAAAAAAGAATTAAGTACAAATGAAAATCCTGTGTAATATCCAGAATGTCCCGAATGCCAAGGCCTGATGCCAATACCAGGTGAGACTAATCCCCCCCCATAAATTTGTGTGACGCACATACACGTGCATGTTTGCCTCTGCCAGTCTTCACTCCTAGAGACTCCATGGACTCATCCACACAATTTTCTTGGCAACATTTTGGGTAGTGGTTTGGCCACATCTATGTACACATCAGAAGCCATACTCCAAAATGGGAGATCCAGGACAAAAATATTAAATCCTTCACTCCCAATAAATGATTGTGACATATAATTGCATACATACATATGCATGTGTTCATGTGCCTATATATTATACACATCAGAAACAACACAGGACAAAAATAATTTAATGTGAATTAATAGATAAAAATGATAAAGCAGATAAAAATGCCAGTCAGTTAAAGTAGCAGATTGATCCCCAGCTGCATATGTGAACCATATGTGCATGGACACACTCCCCTCCATTCTTCTGGCAGAAAAATGAAAAAGGCTAAAACAGAAGGGAGATGAGAAGCTATACTGGAAAGAGAAGGAAGAGACAAAGCTGGTGAGTGGAAGAGAGAACTGGACAGGAGAGGGAAGACAAGAGAGAGAATTCTGGTTAGATAGAGAAATAGAGAGAGAAATAGTTATTCAGCCCATAAAGCAAATATCAGGAATAAGACATAGTACTGCATATCCAGATGTTAGGGCTACAATTCAGGATTGCCAAATATTCAATTCACAGTAATTTGCAGCCATCTGTACCTCCTACACAATTGCTCATATTCAGCTGGGGTTTCTTTTCTCAACAAATGTCAAACACCCGGATGCCAATTCAGAGTTGGAAGAAAGATCCCTCATCCTTTTATTACTGTACGTGTTTAATAAAAATATCAGTGTTCCTGTTGCATCCCACTGCACATGTAAACATTGGTTATATGTAGTTATATATGGTGGGACAGCTGGAATCAGTACAGCAAAAAGTGTGCGTGTAGAGAGAAACAGTAAAATCAGGAGAGCTGAAGAACTCTAGAAACAGGTGCTTGAACAAAAGAAAGCAAAAAGATAATCTTTATCCCGGAAGTGCCATTATGATAAAACGGCCTGTGGTACCGATGTCTCCAGCTTAAGACCAACATGTTTTCTCTTATGGAGAGCAAGCGAGCAAGAAAATGAACAAGATGGAATCAGGAACTGGAAATAACAGCCCTCAGAATAGCAGCCTAACCACTGGGTGGACAGTCTAAGCACACTAGCTAGATAGGAACATCAGAATTCAGTGTTCCTATGCAAGGAAAGGATGGTAAACAGAGCCCTTTTGCTAAAGGATGCTTGTACAATTATTCCCCCTCATGGCCAATAGGTTTACAAGAGCCAAAAACCCTTGTAAGAATACAAGAGTCAATCTTTCAACAAGGGATAGACTCTGGATCTATTGGCTTCTCACCGTATCCGTATCTCATCCCTGCATGTAATCATCAACTCAGACCTGGAGTCCCTGAAACTCTTCCCACATGTAATATATTTGTGTGCTTTTCTCTATGAAGATTTTTTATGGGAACTAGTTGAAAGTAAGGCTCTTTCCATGCTTAATGAAGTTGCATGGGGGGTCCCACATATGGACCTTTTACAAGAAGGGAAACTGAGTCAAAATATTGTTTCCCACACACTAGGCATCACATCCATGATACTTTTATTGGATATAAGGGAACTGGAGTCACTGAAGATCTTTCACTACTAAATATTTGAGTATGCTTTTTCCCCTATGTGGATCTTCTTATGAGAAGTAAGGTGACCATTCTGACTGAAACTCTTTCCACACTCTAAACATTTGTATGGTTTCTCCCCTGTGTGGGTCCTTCTATGGCAAGTAAGGGAAGAGCTAATATTGAAGCGCTTACCACATTCTTGGCACTGATATGGTTTCTCCCCTGTATGGATCCTTCTATGGCAAGTAAGGGAAGAGCTAATACGAAAGGTTTTTCCACACTCCATGCATTTATATGGTTTCTCCCCTGAATGGATCCTTTTATGGGAAGTAAGATCACTGCTGGTATTGCAACTCTTTCCACACTCCATACATTTATATGGCTTCTCTCCTGTGTGGATCCTTTTATGGGAAGTAAGTTGATTGCTCTGAGCAAAGCATTTTCCACAATCTATACATTTGTATGGTTTCTCACCTGAATGGATCCTTTTATGTGAAGTGTAATGACTGCTTCTGTTGAAGCTCTTTCCACACTCAGAGCATTGGTATGGTTTTTCCCCTGTATGTATTCGTTTATGGCAAGTTAGAGAACTGCTCATACTGAAGGTTTTTCCACACTCCATGCACTCATATGGCTTCTCCCCTGAGTGGATCCTTTTATGGGATGTAAGATCACTGCTAGTGCAGCAACTCTTTCCACATTCCATGCACTGATAAGGTTTCTCCCCCGTATGGATTCTTTTATGGGAAGTAAGTGAACTCCTAGTACTGAAGCTCTTCCCACACTCCATGCATGTATATGGTTTCACTCCTGAGTGGATGCTTTTATGGGAAGTAAGGGAACTCCTCATGCTGAAGTTCTTTCCACATTCCAAACATTGATATGGTTTCTCCCCTGAGTGGATCCGCTTATGGGAATTAAGGTGACCACTGGTACAGAATCCTTTCCCACACTCCATGCATTTATAGGGTTTCTCCCCTGAATGGATCCTTTTATGGGAAGTAAGGGAACTCCGCATACTGAAACTCTTTCCACATTCCATACATTTATATGGTTTCTCCCCCGAATGGATACTTTTATGAGAAGAAAGGGAACTGCTCATGCTGAAGTTCTTTCCACATTCCATGCACTTATATGGTTTCTCCCCTGTATGAATCCTTTCATGGAAAGTAAGGCGGATTCTCCACCTGAAACTTTTTCCGCACTTTATGCATGTATATGGTTTCTCCCCTGTGTGGATCCTTTTATGGGAAATCAGATTACTGCTCTGACTGAAGGTCTTTCCACAATCCATACATTTGTATGGTTTCTCCCCTGAGTGAATCCTTTTATGGGAAGTAAGAGAACTGCTCATGCTAAAAGCCTTTCCACATTCCATGCATTTATATGGTTTTTCTCCTGAGTGGATTCTTTTATGAGAAGTAAGAGAACTGCTCATACTGAAGCTTTTTCCACACTCTGTACATTGATATGGTTTCTCCCCTGTGTGGACCCGTTTATGGGAAGAAAAAGAACTCAACCCACTGAAACTGTCTCCACACACCATGCATTTATATGGTTTCTCTCCTGTGTGGATTCTTTTATGGGAAGTAAGCTGACCACTCTGTCTGAAACTCTTTCCACACTCCATGCAGATGTATGGTTTCTCTCCAGTGTGAATCCTTTTATGGGAAGTAAGGTGACTACTTACAGTGAAGCTCTTTCCACACTCCATGCATTGGTATGGTTTCTCCCCTGAATGTATCCTTTTATGGGAAGTAAAGGATCTCAAGCCCCTGAAGCTCTTTCCACACTCCATGCATTTATACGACTTTTCTGCCATGTAGATGGTTTGATGCAAAGTAAGAGGGATAGTCCAATTGTATTTTTTCCCATATTCCATGTATTCATATTGCTGTTCTTTAGGGTAGGTTCTGCAAGATTCACATAAGTCCAATTTATCTTTGATTATTTTTCCACATCCCAGGCACATTCCTCTTTCCTTGTGATCCTGGATTAGGAAGACATGGATTTCTGCACAATTTGAAGGCAAGTTCTCTGGCCTACTGGTTAACATATTGTCCTCAGATCCTTTTAATCCCCACCGATTTCCAAAATTCACTTCTCCAGTTTCAGTTTTGACCCTTTCAAGGGGTTCCACAGTTGGCTGTTCGTAATCCCCAGTCTCCCATCCTGCTTGGAACAAAAAGAAAGAAAGGACAAAAGTTTATGAGATGTTTTAGGCACAAATTAAGAGTGCCATCAGGGATCATTCCCAATTAACTGCATCTTTTATTTGGAGCAAACTAAAGATTTTCCCCCACTACCATTCCTTTTGGAAAAATGGTGTGATTGTGTCTGACAGCATATCTTTCTTTTACTGATATCCCAGTTCTTCCTTCCTGTCAATCTATGTTCAGAATGTGGCAGGTGACATGTAATGTCCCCCAGGATTCCATCTTGTCCCCATCCTGTTCAATGTCAACATGAAACTGCTGGAGTTGAATATCTATTCTTCCTCAATATCCAATTCCAAATAGGTGCTCTTGAATATTGATTGTGAGAGAGAGTACAATTTGAAACTAAATCTAGAGAAAATGAAAGTACTGTTGGTACAACAAAACTAGACTTGAGAACTGAGGTTCAACCTTTTCTGAATGATGTTTCACTTCTCATGAAAAAACAGGTCCACTATCTGGGAGTGCGCTTTGATCCTCAGCTGTCACTGCAATTGGGGCAAGTGGGAGGAGAGTCATCCAGCCAAGCAGAGAGCGGATCAAAATTATGAGTGCAGGTAGTCCTTGCTCAGCGACCACAATTGGGACCAGCAACTCCGGTGCTAAGCAATGCAGTTGCTAACTGAAACATCACATGACTGTGAGACTTATGACATCATTTTCTATTTGGTCATTAAGCAAGTCACCATGGGTCATTAAGCGAGATATCACGTGACCATGACTTGCAATTTTACTGCCAGCTTCTCCATTGACTCTGCTTGTTAGAAGCCAGTTGCAAAGCATGCAAATGGTGATCATGTGACCATGGGATGCTGCAATGGTTATAAACATCCGCCAGTTGCAAAGTGCCTGAATATTAACCACGTGACCATGGGAACGCTGCAATGGTTGTAAACGTGAGGACTGTTTGTAAAATTATTTTTTCAGCACTGTCATAACTTTGAACAGTCACAAAACCTAGTAGTCATTATGGACTACCTGTAGCTCCTTCCCTGCTATAAAGAGTGTGGGAATGTCAGAGCTTCCAAATGCCATAATTAGGGACCGAAAGATAGAAAGGTGCTCCTAAGGTTATCAAGACAAGAACTTGGATGGGAGCACACTCTCCTCTCTCTATGGAAACAATGAAGTTTCTAGCCCTGCCTACTAGAGCAAGTGGGGAGAGAAATACAGATGAGGATATTGTCCTTTTCTGTAGTAAAATATAAGACCAGTATTTCTTCTAAGAAATAGAGAAGTTGGTTACTTTGACTAGCAAATGCATTCTCCAACAATTTGAAACTAAAGTAAAAAGGAACCCTTACCCAAGGAAGCTACATTCCTAGCATTTTCTAGCATGACCTCCATGTACAGGGATTTTTGGTCAAAATCCAGCAGGGCCCACTCCTCCTTAGAGAAAAACACAGCTACATCCTCAAAAGCCATGGGATCCTGAAACAGGAAGAAAACAGTCCTATTAATGTAGATTTCCAGGAAGTTCTTAACGAACACATTCTAGCAACAAAGTTTTGAGCACTTTCCCTGGAGAAACTAAGAAAAAACAGTACGGTTCAAGGCCTGTAATTGTCTATACATTTATATACTGAATGGCAACAACCTCAATATTCCTCTGGATTAATTTATGGGATAAGACATGAATGCACCACTGAACACGGGCTTTAGTCCTTCCTGGAAGGTGTTGAGAGTCTAGTTTAATCAGTGGTTTATATTGTCCACTGGAGATGAACTTAATCTTCAGTCAACACCTACATAAATTTCTTAGAAGAGGCCCTTCCAGGGATAGAATACGATGCCATCAACAGATGGTATCCTATGCTCAGTTGGCTTCCTAGCATATTAATGGGAAGCTGCTCACGTTCATAAAAGTTGCCTAGGTGCAAGGTAATAAAGAACTGGTTATGGAAAAAGGATACAAGCCATTTTGGAAGGAATAGAATAATCCTTGAATAAGTCACATTTGTACTTCAGTGGGAGTGGGGGTGGGGGGGATGGGGTGGAATCCTCCTCCTACCTGAGTTGGAACTACAATTGCTGTTTTTGCTTTACCACGAAGAAGAAATGTTTCCACACGTGCCATCAGTGACATTTCATTCTCTAAGAATGAGATAAAAGAGGAATAATTACATGTTTTAAAAACACCAAGAGCAAAGCTAAATACAAAGGCCACTCTTGCGTACAGGGCTAAAATACTATTGAAAAAGAAGCTCATGAATGAAAGTATCTCAGGCAGTGCAAAACCCTAAGGACTCCACTGCATCAGAAGGACCTCCTTTACCTGATGATGTGTTTTGTGATGGATCCTCCTGGAAGGTGCCCCCAGAGACCAGCTTCTGAGAGGCATACGACACATCCTTCAATGCATCAGAATGTTTAGCAGCCACCGCCATGAAGGGCTCCTGAGCTTGTAACACTGGCCAAGATAAAAGGAGAAAGAGTGTATTCCTGCCCATTGTTCCCACTCCATGGTCCCTTCTGAAAGAAGGACTGAGCTTTTCAGATGTCCTAAAAAATTATTAAGGAGGAGGAACTGAATAATTTGCCTAAAGATGAAATGAAATCTCCTCTTGACGTGATTAAGAATTCATAAATAAAGGCTCAATGTGAAGGTACAGTCTATCACTTATGGTGGACTAAGAAATATTGGAATATAATATATACTTTGATTCACAAGATTTTGAATATAGATTTGCAATTGAAACCAGAGACTTTTCTTTTAGGTATGATGGATAAACAAATGG